GATCCAGGCAACTCTTTCCTTCTTAACTAAAACTGACAAAAATCCAAGGTTTCCCTTCAAATTAATGTCCTGTCATGCCCAGTCTGATCACTTCTTAGCCAGAAATTGAAAATGTACACCTAGACATAAATGTGCACAGCAATCAATATTTGATCAAACCAAAACATGGTTGGGAAGCCAGATGGAGAAATCTACTGTTCTCAGTTAATGGTGGGGAAAGCATTTTATAGTTACTTAACCATCTTGAGCAGAGAGATCTGGAATCTCCCACCAATTAATGGCCCAGGCTAGCCTGATCTCGTAAGTTAAGCATGGTTGGTCCTGGCTAAGTCCAAGGTCACTATGCAGAGGAAGGCAAAGACAGGCTCACTCTGTTAGACTCTTTGCCTTAAAAACCCTAGAAGGTCACCGTAAGTTGGCTGCAACTTGACAGCACTTTCCACCACCACCACCAATTAATGCCCTCCACAAGTGGATGTATTATTAGTCATTTGGAGGTGGTGTGGAAAACAATGAATACAAAATAAATTTGTATAGCCCAAATATACACCACTAGTCTACATTCAATCAAGCACTGATCTTTAACCTAGTAAAATACTAGAGAAACGTTTTTCATGCAGCTTTTGGCAGTCATGAGCAATGAAGCAATTTCTCTTTCGTAATCACGGACAGTAATTGCCCAAAGAGTACCAATGCCAAATAAAACATAAGAAGAGACACTCTGGTTTCCACAATCTGCTCATACCTGTCTGTAGGTAATGGACTGGTGTCAGCTGGTGACTCTAATGATTTCTCTGCTGGTTTCTCTTCTACGGGGGCACTTACTGGTGCAGGCTCACAAGCTACTGCAGCTGGTGTTGGAGCAGCTGGTGCAGGAACTGAAACTGGTCCAGAAGCTGGGGCTGGGACAGGTGCTGGTGTTGGGGCTGCAGCAGCTATCGTAGAAGAGCTAACAGTAGTGATGGCAGCACTTGACTGCTGAGTTGTAGCTGGTGATGGAGCTGGAACAGCTGCTGCTGCTGCTGCTTTGGGCTATGAAAATTAAAGATCATCTAAAAGAGACAAGCTCCCAAATAATTCTCTAACCTTCCTTTACAAGACCCTGCTCAGCTATGGCTTCATACTCATTTGCAAAACTGATTTTCTGTTTTTCAGCCTTGAAGCACATTTTCTACAATAATTTAATTTAAACTTGATTACATAAAACGCACAGGTATGTTCCTAGAGTGTCTCAAAAGCTAATTAGGGGCACATGTAACACGGAGATCAATAGTAGCAAAATATATTCCATAGAAAGGTAAGTTTACTCAGTACTGCCGAACTTCCACTATATTTTAGCCCCATATTAGTATCGTGTTCTAGAGGACACTTCTAGTTAACAGAGTTAGCAAGGCACAAGAGAGTTAACTGAATGTAGCCCTTAGACCATGGCTCAGAATTCTCAGCAACAAACCAGAGTTCCTTGACAGATGTACAGGGTTACTTAGTAGCAATGTGAAAAGGTTACTTAAGAGTTCATTGCTGTGGTATAGCTGGTATGTATTACGGCAACAAGCCATAGAATGCACATGCTTAAATATAACATTCATGTAACCGAATTTAGTACAGTAAAATAGAACTCTATAAAAAATACAGTTGGGCGTAATAAAATAAAGGAAGAACATAAAACAGAGACTATTAGGCAACTATTATTATATATCTGATCGTGTATTTCGGATGCAGTAGCATGCTACCCAAAATTTTGCCACAGTTTCAGTAATTGTCCGGTTCCCATCAATGTGAGGCTTTCCCCTCCGCGATGCTTGAGGGCAAATTCAAAAGGATCTCTACTGAATATAGACTTTGTCAATGCAGCTCAGGAGAGAGAGAAACTATTGAGCACACGATGCTCAGATGTAGCTGGTATAACAAGATCTGTGACAAATATATTACTCCTCTTATAACAGATATGGTGGGACAATCAGGTGTATAGCAATTTTCAAACGTCCCATCTTTAAGTCACAAAAGTCTTCCTCAACAGTTCTACAATAACATGTCCCAGCTGAAAAATGGGGTTCCCCCCCTTCTTTTTTCACCCCAACTGCAACGTATGAAGAGATCTGCAAGGCAATTTAGCAGAACCCAGTTTATCCAGAACTGTGAAAGCTGTCACCCATCACAATGTGGTCCCCAAGATCTGGTACTGAGGGCCAAATCAGACAAGAAGTATTTATACTCAGATCATTCCACAAATTGCCTGCAGTCAACAGATGAATCCGCAGGGTAGAAAGGGGAAGAGAGTAGGTGGGAGCAGCTCTGTCCTTGATGGCAGCAGTCAGCATACTGTGGTATTTGACGTGCTGCTATATTACATACAATACTCTAAATTTTTCAAAATGAAAACGAATTGTAACTTACTTTTGTCACCATAACCACAACAAAGTTTTTCTCATCGATTTTGTACTCTTTAAGAGCAGTATCATCGTTAAGTATTTTACCTAGGAAATTAGACAGACATTTTATATGGTTTTAGCTTTAATAGGAAGCATCACTGCATAAACAACCTGCATACATGTCTAAGGATGGGAACAAATGACAAAAAGCCATGTAGTAGTTGTCAAATACAATAATAAATAAATAAAAGTAGCTGGAACCATGGGGCAGCTATAAACACAAGATGTCCTCAACACACTGTAGAAGTCTGTTACCATGCCCCTCAATTTCTGGAAAATAATAGGCTTGGTGCTCAATTAACTGCAAATTAAAGGCATCTTTTTAATTCTGACAGTGCAGTGGGCAAAGCCAGAAAATGGTTGCCACAGGTGTCAGTGATAGTAACAAAATGGCTGCTACAGCTTAGCTTCTATCACACAGTCCTTGTGCTGATGTGGTAGCTGAGGTCAAAGCAATGTTGTTGTTTTTTAAAAAAATCTGCACAGCCAATCAAAACCCCCACTTTCTAAAATGCTTGTTGGGCAGCAAGAATGGTGTCAGTGGACACCATGGAGCTCCCAGGCACCACCTTGGGGACCCCTGCTTTAAAAATTCTAACCACACTACAACCTAGCAAATTAACTGCTTTCTAATACTACAGGCTGTGGAAGGTCGGTAGTTCAGCAGTTCGAGACCCGGGTTGCCGCATGACGGAGTGAGCTCTCGTCTCTAGTTCCAGCTCCTGCCAACCTAGCAGTTCGAAAGCAAGAAATCGCAAGTAGATAAATAGGTACCACTTCGGTGGGAAGGTAACAGTGTTCCGTGCGCCTTGGTGTTTAGTCATGCCGGCCACATGACCACGGAAACGTCTTCGGAGAGCGCTGGCTCTCTTCGGCTTTGAAACGGAGATGAGCACCGCAACCCTAGAGTCGGATTTGACTGGCTTTCGAGCAAGGGAACCTTTACCTTTAATACAATAATACTAATAGGGAAGGCAATATATAACTAAAATAAGCCAGCGAGAAGATATAAAGAAGCTGGCAAAAACATACAACGCCAGATAAATTTAGCCAGCAGTGTGAGAGTCACGAAAGCAGGTTATCATTTCCATCTGACCACAAGCTGCTTCATACTTGTGGCAACTCTGTTGCTGCAGCTACGGTGGAGCTACACCAATCTTTTCTCCGGAAAATATGACACATGAACATACATTCCTAAATACACATTTAGGGAACACCTTGGAGAGTTGCAGCCAACCAGAGATTCCCAGGAATCTACTGCAGAGTGACCACAGTGCACAAAACTTTTTTTTTGCGGGGGCGGGGGTGTCAAATCACAGCTGACTTAGAGCGATCCCATATGGTTTTTAAGGCAAGCATCTAACCGAGGTGGTTTGCCATTGCCTGCTCTCTATGTAGCAAATCTAGATTTCCTTCATGGGTCTCCCATCCAAACACTAACCAGGATGACCCCGATCAGCTCCTGAGATATGACGAGTTCAGCCTAGCCTGGGCTATCCAGTGTAGGGCACATGCAACAGAGCCATGGGAAAGGAAACCAGCTGGCATATAAAACATGAAGCAATTCTAGGAAACTGTATGAATTAAGTAGAGTTAGCTGCATTTGTAAGCCAGAGTGATTAATACACAGAAGAACTTCAAGATGTTCATATGGGCCATTTGACAATTATGAATAACAAGCAAATGACCTCAAGCATCTGTTGACTGTCAAGATAGTTGCTCAACAAGCTCAGAATACCTAGTTATCAGGTCCACAGATGAAAGCTGGGGAACGGGAGAGACAGAAAAGTTTGGAGAATCCAGTCTGTCTCCCTTCCCTGCTCTTTAAAATTGGGAAATATTGGGAGCACTGGAATAATCACCTGCAAACAATTCTCTCTTTGCAATGACAGAAAAGTGTAAGGCACGATTTTATATAACAATTCTCATACTATATTTTGTGCAAGAATCTACATCATTAGATAATAATTATTCTTATGCATAATGCAGACATACACAACATATTTTCAAGAATATAATAGTTTAAAATGCAGATAATTTTGGCAACAATCAAAATACTATAATGTGTTTTATGATAGTACACTAAAAAGGTTAGTGCTTCCCATGTTACTTGATATCCTAAATATGCATTTATCCTACATATTATGGCTGTATCACTGTGTTTCTACACAAATAATGCACTTTAACTACAGAATTTGTTTTCTACTTTCCATTTTTATATTTTCTCTTAGACGGCAAAAATTAAGATAAATGTGCTAAATCATGATACAACAGAGCAATTTTCTGGTTAGATCTGCTATTTTTCTTATAGAAAACTAAGATATTTAACGTTTCCATAAATATACCAAATATATAAATTTATTTATAAATATACCAAATTTCTAAATCATGCATATTATGCTTTTAAAGTGGTAAAACGGGTTTAGCTTTGAAGAAGAAGAGATTGGATGTATACCCTGTCCTTCACTACCCAAGGGAGTCTCAGGGCGGTTTACAAACTCCTTTTCCTTCCCCTCCCCACAACAGACACCCTGTGAGGTAGGTGGGGCTGAGAGAGCGCTGACAGAAACTGCTCTTTTTCAAGTACAGCTGTGCCAGAACTACGGCTTGCCCAAGGTCATCCAGCAGGTGCAAGTGGAGGAGTAGGGAATCAAACCCATTTATCCCAGATTAGAGTCCGCGCCCTTAACCACTACACCAAACTGGCTGAGAAAGCATTGCATATATTTCAGGTTTTTTACCAGAAGGAAAAGGGTCCCCCTCCCAGAGGCTTCAAAAACTCTAGAAATTTTATATCTCTAGTTGAATCTACTGTGAATTAATCCTTTAAAGGTTGCCTAATTTTGGTGATCCCCCCCCCAATCCACAGCCCAGAAACAGAAAAGAAAGAAAAAAACCCAGGCTTTGCTTTACTAGTTTATTCAGCAATACTTTTTCAAGAATTAGGGTTCTCGGCCAGCTGTATTCCTCCCAATTTTCACACTACATGAAATGTAACGATGGCCTAAACTGTACCCACCTTTTCTGTTACTTCAGTGATGAAGCAGCAGCCCAATCCTATGCATGCTCCCTTGAAAGTTCTACTGCCTTCAAAGGAACCCTCTCTATGCATACAGGTTAAATCAAGCAGGATCTTCTGTAAGTTCTGTCACAACACAGTTCTAACCAAGCCAATAACATCCTAAAATGTTTTCCTAACTCATCAGAAGGAGAGGTATTTTACACAGAACATAAAGGGGGGAAGTTATACAAGGTTCTTATCATTTACTTGGTGCATCATTAGTTTGTCAGAAGCACTTAGTGATATAAAAAACAATCTCCACATGAAAGCACATTACCTGCATATATTAATTTTTGGCCCGCTACAGGAAAAGCATCTTTCCCCTTTTCTGATTCAATCTTCTCTTTCAATGCTTTTACCTATAAAAAAGCAATTCTAGTTAGAACAAAATGTTGCACATCTACCTCTATTAAACGTATGTTTTATATACCAAATAAGGAATTGGGTGCAAAAGTATTTGATGGGAGGTTAAGTATTACATGCATTATGAGAGTCATAATTTGCACGCCACAATAGTGTATCTAGACATTGCCAGAAAAGCACTGTACATATTTTCCATCTCATGGAGAAACTTTTCCCCCTAATAGCTATCAGGTCTTGCTCTGGAATTCTCTGGGCCTTTAAATCTTCAAGCAAATGATCTTGCATAGCATCACTGCATGTGTAATGAGACAAGGCTGAATTTCACAATTGCTCCCCTGATTCTGAACAGATACATTCTATAGTGCAAAAGAATATGAGGCTGCATGACCAGAGGCTTCCAGCTATGCTCCTAGCCAGGAAAAAGACTGATTGCAAGCATTGTGCTTTTAACTTTTATAACAAAATTTAGCATGCTTGTTCGAGAAATGTGTAAGTCACAAAACGGGAAACTTGACTTAAAATACAGCCTTCTCTTGAACCAATGATTTAAATCAACCCCAAGTGAAACACCTTTCATTAATCCCACTGATAATCACACAATACTAAATATCTAACACTCCAGAACACATCCATAATAGAAAGGACACGTGGAGCCAGAGAAAAGGGGCAAAAAAGCCCCCTCCCTCGGCTGGCGAAAGTGAGGTAGGAGGGAAATCGGGAGCTCTTTCGCTGTCCTTGCAGCACCAAGTAAACAAATGCTTTTAGGTGAGTTTCCCACAATACTCATCTCACAGTGAGTCCAGCCGCACACCTGTGATTTAGTACATGTTGGATGCATCTTGTAGTTATGCCCATAGTTTCAAGCAAATGTAAGCCCCACTTAAACAAATGCAGCCAAGCCAGAAGTTCAGGCACCCATTACCCTTTATTCTGCCCCCAGTAAAGGAGAAAGAGGGCAAAGAAAGGGGAAAGAATGTGAAAGGTGACCAAGTATGAAAGGAGATGGTGTGAAAGGGCTGAAGGACAAACAAGGGAACTTGGGCAGGGATAAAGGTATCAGAAAGCGAACAGGTAGTAAGAAAAAAACTGGTGGGCACCACAGCAGCAACAAATGCTGCAAAGAGGATAGGCTGAATGGCACGATTAAGCTCAGACGTACTTAAGGGTATTTGCGAACCTTCTTTGCTAGATGACTTGAATTCAAGATCTCATGCATGCTAAACCCATGCTGTTCCAGAATTTCAATGCTCCATTGATGTGAAGAGTAGAATGTAAAAGGGATAAAGGCTCCAACAAAAATCTGAATCAACCTCTGGGATATTCCGACTATATGTAATTGGAAGTACAAATCCTGAGCAAGTTTACTCAGAGGCTCCACTGAGTTCAACAAGATTTACTCACTTGGCATGTACAGCTGCTTTCACAGTGAAGGCAGATGAAGGAAGAATTACAACTGCCCTACGTCTATGTATCCTCTCTGTTCTTTCGGATGTGTTGATAAAAGCATTGTCTTGTGGAATGGGATGTTTTCTTTTGCTATCTTTCTTGTTGCTCTCCTATGGTTACCCAGCAGCCAATTTGAAAAGTTAGCATTCTCCACAGCAGGACCTGAAACACTCTCTCCTCTTTCCTCTTACAATGCTCCACCCCACCATGCTATCACAGAGGTCACAGGGATATTTCCTGTAAGTATACAGCCCTGTCTCCCTTTCCCTCCCAGCATGATTGTACCCTTAAACAGACCACAGACCACAACTCATTGTCTGGGAAAGCCAGCTGGCTCTATGTATATTTCTTCCCAAGATGAAGCTAGCTGGAAGATGTGCTCAAAATGCTCATCCTTCCATCTCTGTTTTTCCTTCCAAACTGCAGGCTGTGTGTGGTATAAAAGGATTTAAATTTCCACCTGCAGAACTAATGGAGGTATATATATAGTTAAAGGCTCCTGTGGTCTTCACCACAGAGATTCATACCGGTAAACTTACTGGGGTGAATTTGTAACTTCGAGGACATGTTTTCCTTGCGTGGTGGAGTAAGATAAGGTAACATTATCACCATACATGAATCACAGGCAACAGCTAATATGGGGTCATTATACTGTATCAGGCTGATGGTTTCACTGGTGTTGCAGGTGCCACTCAAAGTAATACTGATTTCTCTTTCAGTTTTGCAGCTCACAATGTGAAGGATGCCAGTTATATCACAGAACTTCACTGTAAGCTAGGCAAGGCTGAGCAGAGGTTTGATCTCACATTCACACCTAATTGCCTAGCCTAATCTGCAGGCACCTAACACTGAAAACCCTTAACATTAAGATATATGTAGTAAAGAACTATTCAAACAATTTCAGATTTCCGCTTCAGGGAGCCTATATAACAGTGGTGGCAAACCTATGGCACGGGTGCCAGAGGTGGCACTCAGAGCCCTCTCTGTGGGCACACGTGCCATCGCCCCAGCCAGGCCCAGACCATCATTAAAGTGTCGAATTCTCTGCCAAATAATTTAAAGTAAATGAAAGCATTTGGGATTGCTTTCCTTACTTTATTTGGATCATCTTAAGTAAATGTATGAGTTTTTTTTTTCTAAAGTAAAACCTCAGTATTCAGGTTAAATTGCCGTGTTGGCACTTTGCGATCAATAAGTGGGTTTTGGGTCGCAGTTTGGGCACTCGGTCTCTAAAAGGTTCGCCATCACTTCTATATAACTTTCAAATTATTTGTATCTCAGTTCAGCTTCAGCCACTTTCCAGGTGTCATTCTGTTAGGTGCCTACATAAGACCATCTTCAGTAATCAAGTTTCATCTCTAACAACAGGAAGAGAAGACTGTCAGTTACTTAATTGCTGAAGTAGCAACCAAAACCATCCAGCAGAACGGGTTTTACTCTTCTCCACCTGCTTCTGAGAGTACCCAAGGAGTCTCTCGTGATGAAGATGATCCAGGAAATCCAAGAACAGCCTGCAGTTCAACTGCTAGATTAATGAGTCCTGGATTTGCTGTGGCATGGATTCTGGACATCCCCACAGAAGAAGTTTTCACAGTTGTCTACCATTGTAGTCCACAATAAGTAAACTTTTAAAAGAAACTTAAAGTAGTTAAGGATGTGCTTGATTAAGCAACTCTACGTTAATAAGTCAGCCAACTACAAGTATTTTAGCACTTTAAGCTTCCTAGCCAAACATGGATAGGATATTAACAAACCCAGTCTTCAAAAAGGGACACGTACATAGTTCTAAAATCATACCAGGTCTGAGTATTCATCCTCACAGTGACAAAAAAAGCTGGAACTAACGTGGCAAGTTGGACAGATTTCACCAAAACTAAAATGGAGTAAGTTAACAGCCAAATCCTAAAATTTTACCACCTGTAACATGCCAGACTAAATTTACCATCTTTCAAACAATCCATCTAGTACATGGCCACCAACTATTCAGAGAGAACAGGCGCACTGGGGGTGCCTAGCTTCAAACAAACAGCTGAAAAGTCATTTCCACCACAGTACCAAAATCACACTCAAGGGGAAATGTTAAACCACCACCACCAAAAAAAAAAGTTCTTCCCTCATCAGAAGCTTATTACAAAACTATCTGCAATTCCTACTACCTAATCTCCACGTCTGACTGCCGCTACATTCAAACTGTAGCACACCAGTTATCCCTCCACTGATTCAAAAGAAGTTAATTTGTGCATCAGAAACCAGGAAGCCTGCTTATGGCTAGTTATAACTATTTTCATATCCAAGAAGATGCAATATTGCAGGGTGCTGTTCTCCAGTTGCAGGAACACACAGGTAGCCATAATGGAAGAAATGTTCCTTATTAACCTTAAAAGTAATTAGACAACGCTGCTGTTTAATGGCTAAAAAAAGTTGCCCCCTCATTTTTACTAGGGGTTTAACAAGCCTGAGACAATGTCACCCACCACATCTGCATTATATTACAGAAATGTATTTACAATATAAAATATACTCATCTAAGCAGTCGAAATAAGGAACAACCAACTAGCAAATCACAAGTCTAAAAAGAACTATTTACATGGTCCCACCACATTTTAACAATGGCGTGGTGGAAGTGATTTTGCTCAGACTCACTTACAAAATGAAGCAATAATCTGTAGGTGCATTTTGTTGTCTGTCTGCGTCTTTGGGTTGCAGGAGGAATCCTTCAAGAAGCCCGGGCTCTTACTCTACTGCATATGTCCCATATGTGAATCTTTTAGTGCCAAATAATGGCAATTTTATCAACACTCACCCAGCCAATCAATATTCCACCTGTATCCTTATTGTGTAGCCTGTCCATCCTACAAGGAAGTTGAACTGTTCTTCCTCAGAGGTTACAGTTTGAAATATACGGTACTCCTTGATAATACATAACCTGATAATTCCTGGTCAAGATGACTGGCATAACCCAGTAACTCTTATTGGCTTCCTCTCTGATTTTGGTGTTATGTCTTTATATCTTTATTTTATTATTATATATATATTAATTGAAATATTTTTAATGTTGTGCTTTTTATTGTTTTATTTTTAATGTTTTAAGGTTTGTTGTTTGCCATTTGACATGCGCAATGTAAGAGACGATGCAGGAAATTCAAGTTATGACTTAATACTAAATATTCCTCCAACTCTGAGTACAATCAATATTAATTAGGGTGAATCCTATCAGTGGTAAGCAGAGCTCTGCTAGGTGAAGGGCGCTACCCCCCTCACCCACCACAGCCCACTGCACCCACTGATCAGTGAACCCCCAGGAACAGCAGGAGGAATGGTGAGGGTCTGTAGCTGGAGAAAGAAATCACTGAAATTAGCCTTCCCATAGTCAGAAGAGCCTTCTGCAAGTAGAAAAGATCCAACTTGTCATATTTAGAAAGCTTGCATTAATTTTATTTAACACTGAATCAAGTTTCTGCAAATTATGGATGTTTTGTGACAATGTATATTGCCTTTGAAACTAAGTATCACAACACTGTGAGATACTGAAAATATACCACACTCCTCA